AGAACTTTACAGATTATATTTATTTTCTTTAAAATAAAGAGCCATCTAGAGGAAAACTGTCCCCCAGTAATTCCAACTCCTTCCCACCTGTCAGTTTTTCTGAACATCAAGGAGAATTTAGGCTGCCTGAGGCTAAAGCCCAGAAGAAGGAGGAAGCTGATCACAGGAGGTGGAGCTAGAAGATTATCATTAGTTAGAAGAAGACTCCAGAGGCAGATTTTCAGCAGATCTATTTGTTTCTTTTTTGAATTATCTGCCAGCAGACAAACACATCTACCACAAGAGAGAAAAGTTACCATAGCTTCTACCTGGTCACGTCTCGTCCTAAAATTCTGTATCCAATTCTCTACATAAGGTAAAGGAGATGCTGGAAAAATATTTTTGTTTTTTTATTAGGAAACTTTGTTTTACACAATTATCACCATTAGTTTGCCATTTAAATAAAAATTATTGCTCAGGTGGTATATTTCATACCCTTGTGTTGAAAAGAAAGCCAAGCAAAGGTGAAATTTGTTTGGACTGTCAGTTCCTTCTCACCTAGGTGTTGGCAGCTGTTCCTTGCAGCCTCTCACCATCTGTTGTCTTGTTTTGTCACCTCTAGTAAGGTTTTTGCCACATCAGATCTATCCTCTTACTGTTAAACTGTTCATCTTTGTTATTATATTTGAAGTGTGACGGCTTGTCAGCTACTCCTGCATTTAACATATTGGCCGGTCCTGGCTATTATTACTGGGTTTTGCTAGCTCTTGCTGCTACTGAGAGAGAGACATTTCAAATAAATGACTGAATCTTTTCAGTCCCACATTACTTTGGGATTCAGCCCAGCATTACTCTTCTTTATCCAAGTAGTGCTTGTGTGTCCACTTACCTCGTCTTTCACTTTTTACCTATCAGCTGTCATTCCCTGTATTTAATCCTCACCTGTTGCCTAGTTGCACCTTGTCCTACTTGTGCCTGGCCCTCTATGCTACAGGACAAATATACAATTTAACGCTTGCCATTGCTTTTCTAGGATAAGCAGAAAATAAAAGACATAGTGGTGTAAACAAAATAATATCCCTGAATACACTTGACTTAAGTGAACCTGACCAATGGATTTTAATTCTTATCATAGACAAGCAGTAGAAATTTAGCTATATAAATGATTATTTTTA